TTGAGAAATAAGTAGATTTTCAATTGAAACCATGTAAAATTAATATTGAGATCTATAAAAGTTTCAAAATTGCTTTCATCTTTTATCCAAACATACATAAGAAACCTTTCTCAATTATTTTGCTTATTTTTAAAATGAAATGCATTTTAGGAGGATAAGAAGACCCACGATTGCTGACAAATTTAATTGCATCGTACAGACTAAAGAGAGGATGTTGAAAACCTTGTTCCCAACTAAGAAACTCAATGAGACCTTTCACTAAGCACATTTTTAAAGCTGCCTGATTTCCACACAAGATGTTAAAGGAAGGTCATTTTTGAGAATCAGAGCTATTGTTGGTCAAGACCTGCCCATTAATGATAATTGTTTCCCAGAGAGCATGTACTTTATCTTATCTAGAGACACAGTTCTGACTTGGGGCAATCAATTTTGAAGATAAAGGCTGGTTACTTTAACTTCTAACTTACTTCCTTTAAAAAAAAATCATTATTTTAAATTCTGGAAAATATATTTATAATGCTTCAAAACTTTAAAATTTATAAAAATATATTTGGCTACATTAATAAGTGGAACTTTGATGTTGTAAATATTTGCATACTTATGTGGAATAAGGTCTTCAAATTTATTTTTTCTACTTCAATAAGACTGTTTTTTATACTATTTTAATGATACAATTTTTGGAAATTCTTGATCTTAAAAGAAAAAGAACTTTCTAGACTACTTGCATCTTTTATCCAAACATACATAAGTAACCTTTGGGTTAAGATGTATGTTTGGGGTAAGAACATTGTATTCACTTCCTCTTTGAATTTGAGTGCTACTCCTATAAATTGGCATGTCTAAAACAGGAATATAAAATTCAGTTGACTTGATCAACTTACTGTGATGGTAATAACATCAATAATTTTTATGACAGATACTCACTATCTTTTATGTAGAGACAAGGATGTCATTATTGACCATTACTGATTTAATGTTAATGATGGTCAATAGAGCAAGTATTGATATATCATTTCAGCATCATAAATACATATAAGTAAGCCTTAACTTGTATTTTGTATAACTATATACTCCTCTGTTTTCCCTGATACCAAGTTTGACTTCAGGCTTTCAGTTTCCAGAACGGCCTAACAGAATGACTCAGCATAATTTTATGGAATAAGCATAGGCATAACTTAACACAGGAACTAGCTAAAATAACAGGGAGTCATTCACAACTGAGAATGCAGCCATTACTGCAAAGAATCCCAAGTGGCGGGAGAGACATGACCATGAAGAGTTTTCTTCTATTGTCAAGGAAAAAAGGCATATCTCTTCTGGTATGCATCTCTTCTGGTTGGTGCAATCCCCTGTCTATTTTGAAGACCTTGGAAAAAAGACCCATCTCTTTTTTTTTTTTTATTATTATTTTAAGATTTATTTATTTATTCATACAGAACTGGGGTACAGGCCAGAGGCTCAGGGGCGGTGAGAGGCTTCACCAGAGACAGAGTGGGGAGCAGAACAGGCAGATCGACGAAGTACACTGCTGAGGGGAGCAGCGGGCGGGTCAGGAGAGGTCTGCCACGCCATGTGGTCTCCTCCGGGGCAGGCGGCAGGCGGGAATCGAACTCATGCGGAAGTGGCTTCAGATTCTCAGTGCTGTGCTTTAACCCGCTGCGCCACCAGGGAGGGCCGACCCATCTCTTCTGATGTGAGAGTCTCTTCTGGTGCAACCCCCCATCTGTTTTGAAGACCTTGGAAAGATGCTAAGGCAAAGAATGTAGCACCTTTCTGTAAGCAAGTACAACAGCTTCTGCTGCCAGCACCTGACAGAAACTACATAGATTCTATAGAGACATTGAGGCCATGAATATACTGATTTATTTTTAATGCAGCTGATCTACGTAATTTGAGTAGGACAGAGATTTGAGTTGTACAAATAAGCCATCACCCCTGACTTCTGTTAAATTTGGGTCTCTGACCTCTCTGTTCAGTTATATTACTCAGGCAGTTTCCTCAACATTCCTGGCTTAGAGTTAAAGATTTTTATGAACATTAAAATAGTTTCTTCACTCGGTAACTCCAGTGTGCTTTCCAGTTCGAATAAAATCATTGTATCCCAATGGAATTATCCTCCCTAAACATACATTAGCATTTTTAACAGGAATCTGGCCAGTGATATTGACTATGATTTTTGACATTTCACTTTCATTTCCTTTAGTTTATTCTTTGTAGACTTTTGCACCTTTCAAAATGCCACTCTTGAATGGATATTCCTCCTTGTTACACATTCAGGAAGCAATGTGAAGCACTTACCTGAACAAAAATGATTACTTTTTTTTTCACAAAAAGGAAATATTTATTAATTTGGCTATTTCAAAACTAACAGCTTCTGGGATCGCTATGGTGGCACAAGGGATTAAAGTACAGCACTGTTAAACTATTTGCAGCCACTGCAGCACCAGTTCGATCCCTGGCCAGGGAGCTGCACCACATGGCACAGCAGACCTCTCCTGACTCACCAGCTGCTCCCCTCAGCATTGTGTTTCAGTAGATCTGCCTGCTCTGCTCCTCGCTCTTTCTGGTGAATGCCTTCACCCTTGCACCTCTGGCCTTATCCCAGTTCTTTTAAGCATAAATCTTTAAAAACAAAAAAACAAAACAAAACAAAACAAACAAACAAAACTAACAGCTTCTGTTCAGCAGAAGAAAAATCATAAAAATGAAAAATAAAGTCACAAAATATACTTAAGTGGTTCCCTTATATTTCTTCATTTTCTGATTGTTAGAATACAAACTTCTCGATGTCAATGAAGAAGGGCAAGTAACTCAATAAAATAGAGGTCAACATATTTGTCAGGTACATTACAAAAGATGTAAACATGTAAAAGTGATGTGAGTACTCAGGTAAATGAAAATTAAGTTATAAAGGTATCTTTACACACCCACCAGAATGGCAAAATTAGGAATACTGATGATGCCAAAAATTAGCAATAAGGTAATAATAAATGATTCCTGAGACAGCTAATTCATCATCTTGATTAATGAGAATTCAGCATAAAACAATATAGACCATATTAAACCAATAATATATAGCATAATAAACAAAGAACTACACAAGTGATTTCTCTGCGCAGGGTTATTCATAAATAGTTAACATAATAGGTTGAAACAAGGTCTTACTGGCAGCTCCAAATTAGAAAATGACAGTGAATATCAAAGTGTACACTTCAGTGTAACAGAAATAAGGGAAATCAAAATCCTGCTCTTAACCATATGCATTCTCTAATCTATTTGGTCACAAAAGTTCTGTGCATGCTAGTAACTGGAATCATGTTGAAATAGAGGCTCCTCATTAAAAGGCTACTATTAAAATGTGTTTTATAGTAACTATCCCACCACTTTTTATATATCATCATATCCATAGCAACTGACTCTTTAGTATTCAATGCTTGTTTTTGATTTCAGTCAGTTAGAACAAAATTTCAACTAAATTCATTAGTTCTGAGGCTGTTTAGTTTAGTTGCATAGTAATAGGACTTTTAAACATAAGTTCTAAAAAAAAACTACTCTGAAGAGAATAATGAGCATTTTGTTTTATAATCCCTTTGAGCACTATCTATAGACAACTGCCTAAGAGATTTGCATAGTTTCAAAAATCTTTATAGCAGGACATATATCCCTAGGTTTCCCTGATGCTTCAGCCAGTATATTATTGAATGTAAAACATATTAACATGGGAGCACACATTTCATCCAACAAATCGTTTTTTTTAAAGAAAGGATCAAAAAATTGTAAGAGCAAAGGCAATTTCATAAAGTAGTATTTAAATAGCGGCAGATTTATGCTTCAGATAATTTTTGTTTAATAAAGTACCTAATAAAGATGCACAGTCAAATGCAATTTTTATTTGAATATTATCTTATTTATATATTTATTTCACTAATGCACAGACTGCAGGCTAGGCCAATATTTTATTACACACATTTTATCCTTGGTCACCTGTTCCATCCACCCAAAGCAATCTACCTATACACACTCATGTGCTCATGAAGGCATTTATAAATACACACATACAGAATTGGACAAGTCCAGGGTAAATATGGGGACTTAAAACAAAATCTGTATAAACTGTTTACATCTTAATAATATTCTATTGAATAAATGCAAGCTTTTATTATGCAAAAAAACTTTCAGAACATATAGAAGCAATTGATGGACTAAAACCTTGTGTGTGTATGCATGGTGTTGACATGACAGTGTGTATATGTGTGTGTATAATCCCAAATAAGGCAACTGGATTATATTCTCTTACTTGATCCCTCCTAGGAAATGGAAATTTAATGGAAATTTATTTCTTTCCTATGTAAAGTGTCCATGATTATTAGGAAAACAGAATGAAATGAACAACACTAATACCTAATAATGCATCATTGAAGGATTTGCTATAGCTAAAATGGCAATTAGTTCATAAAATGTAAACGCAGCAAACCAACATGTGTACATGATAAAATTTACACACTTTTATGTTAAATGTATTTCAATTAAAAAAATAACTTCAATCATTTTGAAATCTCCTACCAAGTCAAATATATGTATACACACAAACACACACATTTTTTGTCCCAGAATTTTGATAACTTGGTTAATGAATATTTTTGTTTTAAAATATTGACTGATGTCTCGGGACTAAAAGAACCTACCTATTTCATTCTGATTTAATATCACTACTCTCTCAATTTCTCTTCTTTATTTCTTTTTTGGATTCCCTTAATTATACACAATTATTCCATAATTATAATGTTTAAATTATATGTATATTCTTCATCTATATATCTGCATACATTTCTGTCTTTTCCTAATTATGCAAAATAGGGGTAAGCAGCATGTCTGAGATCTGCTCTCACCCAATTACTTACCTGCTGGAACACTGTAAGGAATGAGAGCAGGTAGATCTCCTGGTCAGATCCTCTAGTCAGCAAACAAGCTGTGAAGGAAGTCCAAGTGCATGCACTGACCTGTTTTAGGGTCTACGGAGAAGTAGGGCTGTCCCTGAAGGATGCTGTAAACCACCCGAGCACTATTCCCATAGGTGGGGTCATCTGCATCAGTAGCTGTCACCTGTAGAACAGACGTACCTGTGAATTCAGGAAAGCAAATTTTAGTGTAATGACATTTAATATATGCACAATTTGTACACAAAGAGGGTTATGCTGAAATATCTATGGCCATCTATAGTAGAGTCCTACTAAAGTTAATTCTTAGACACACATATCAAGCATATTTCTTGCTTTCTTGCCCTGTTTGTAAATGTATTAGTAAGTGTCCAAAATAGAATATGTGGTTTCAGATTTTTTAGTATGTCTGTTGCTGTATTGATAACATTTGGAATGGCCTCTTGTGACTCTCACATAATCCAGGTTGGCTTGAGACAATGCCCAAGATGGAAACTTGTATTAACTGTGGGGTAAAGTTAAAGATTTCTTGAAGCTGCACATTGTATGCTTAGAGACTATTCAGACAGTCAGAAGCAGGAAGGTTTTTGATTAAGTGGGAAGGGAGGGTGAGTTGACATTAAATTATCAGTGTCATCTAAATAGTCCATTTGAGTCATTTTTCAATCATCCATGCCCTTTTAATTTCCTACATGGACCATTAATGAGTTTCCCAACCAGCCCCGTGGTTCAGAAGTCATTCCTTTAAGTCTGTGCTTCATAGTACCAACATTTTACAAGGCCTATCATAATGTGCCTAAATGAGGAATTTTTAAGATGAAAATGTATATTAGTTTATATACTTTAAAATACTATAGTGTGAGGCATAAAATTAGTAGGTTTCTTTTGCTGGCTTCTTTATGTTTATGCATTTTAGACACCATTTGCATAATGAGATATACCCATATCATATGTCAGTTATTTTAAAATGAAAACTGATTTGATCATAACATGCCAACTACCTATGAAGGGTTATACAACTTCACAGCTGACAGAGTAAGAGCTCTCAATTATTCATGAAATGTATTTGATGAATCATCTAATAGTACATACTTGATATTTTATTCCCCTCAACTAGAAAATTCTACCTATTACATCAATTCTATATCAACAAAAATATCTCCAGGTACAAGTGAGTCTAGGTGAAATTCTCAATTTATTTTGGCACTACAAGACACTGACATTTTAGTTTTAAATTTTAGTAATTACGGGCCCTCCCTGGTGGCGCAGCGGGTTAAAGCACAGCACTGAAAAGCCAAAGCCACTTCCGCATGAGTTCGATTCCCGCCTGCCCCGGAGGAGACCACATGGCGTGGCAGACCTCTCCTGACCCGCCTGCTGCTCCTCTCAGCAGTGTACTTCGTCGATCTGCCTGTTCTGCTCCTCACTCTGTCTCTGGTGAAGCGTCTCGCTGCCCCTGCACCTCTGGCCTGTACCCCAGTTCTGTATGCATAAATAAATAAATCTTAAAAAAAATTAGTAATTACTTTAACGATTTAGCTGCAGCATACCTATTGTGAACCTGTTCAACTGTTTTTGTTCCTTCCCTACTGAAATTCATATACAACTTTAAAACAACCTTATACTGTGCCTTCAGGGAATCCTCCTCCACTAGCAAGTGAAATCTTTCTTTCTACAATCCAAAGGACTTTTTCTGGAGGTCACACCACTAGCTCCAGACCTAATATTTATCTCTCCAAATTGCTCAGAGACGATCACTGAGTAAAGAGTGACAAACAAGCGAGGCGGGAGGTATCTTGGTGATACCTGCACGGCCAGCACACAGGCAGGCAGGCCCCCAGCCACGTGAACCTCACTCTGTCTTGCGCGATCGCATCTTGCATTGTACTAGGAAGCTAATCACGGCTCCCAACCAGCTGTCTCCAATCATCTTTTCCTGGCTTCTCTGCTCTTTTCCAATCGTCTGCTTCTTAGCCTAGGAGTCCTCATTCACATAAGTGCACGCCCTGTGCTGTCTGGCTTCAGTATCTGTAACTGTAGACGCCCAAGCCTCATGATCACGCCTAGGCGCTTTCTCACAGTAGCAGGACTCCACAGGCGGGCAGCGGCCCCTATGGCGTTGGCAGCACAGGTGGAAAGAGCCGCTGGACTCCATTTTCCTACAGCCCCTGATTATATCTATTATACAGCAGAGCTGGTGTTCTACACCGATGGGGAATGTGGAAACAAACGGCCACACACACCTACAGTGGGATCTTTGTGAAGATGAAGACAGAGCAGGGGCTCCTTATAAGCCAAGATAAGTCGATGATTACTAGCCACGCTGAGAAGCTAGGGAGAAGGCTTGGCACAGACCCAGCTCCTAGGTCTTCAGAGGCGCATAGTCAGGTAACAGCTTGACCTGAGATACGAGGCTTAAGAACAAGTGAAATAATAAAGTTGCTAGCTAGGACTGTCAAAGAATTTATTTAGTAAGTTAGAAAAGCCAATTAATGAATGCTTATCCCTGGTTACTATATGTCTAGATCATAATCAGTGTTGCCAATTAATATTATCTCAACAAAAAATGGTGTTAAAAATAAAATACGGTAAAATAGTCATTGGGATTTATGTAACTCTGCGAAAAGTAAGCTCTGTACATCAGTCCATGCAACCCCTTTTTTCGTGCCATAGGTCTAACTGCATATATACAGAATACAGAACTGTGCCTGGTTTCCAATAAAACAATGCCTAAAAGGTCATTATTTTACTACAATATTAAATGGAGTAATTTCCTCATGGAATTATTTCAGCCTTTGGGCTGCAGATATTAAACAATAATCCCTTTCCTACAACACTGGCTTCTTTAAAAAGTGCTATTTAAGCTTCCTTAATTTTTATAATTGTGTCCATTAAAAACAATAATCATGGAAACACTGTATTTTAAAAGTACCACTGGCTTCTGGATAGACACGATTTTCACATTAGACAAGTCCTATAGCTCACACCGAGGTGATCTCATGTTGGGGATTAGTGCTGATCAGTCCATATTTCACACAAATCTGAAAAAGATTTCAGTACTTTAAGAAGCTTTCAAGCTATCTTCTCTGCAATGAAACTTAAGTTTTCTTTCTTTTGAGGATTGCCCTGTGTCATTCTTTTCATTTGGCTTCTGTTTGCTTTACAAATAGCATGAATTGTGTGAAGTTACACAGCAGTCAGAAGAAGCAGGAAGAGTGGACTTTCTCGAACATCTCAAAAGACCAATTTGAAATATTTAATAAGGCAATTTAATGCCAAGCAAATATTCTCTGAATCACAAATTGTTATGCATGACTTGTGAGAGTTCACATTCTGTTAAAATCTCAAGTGAATCAGTGTTGAGCAAGAACTTGGAGTAAAAATAAGCTGAAGATTTACAAAGGTTCAGAGTATCTTTCTGAAGGAATCTCTTAAGGCTTAATTCTCAGGAGATTTTCCCAGGGACTGAAAAAGTAAGCATCATCAAGATACAACTTAAATTTAATTCCATACAGAAGGAACTTAATTTCACCAGCAGAGCAGTATAATATAGGATCCCAACCTTCATGTAATTTTATTAAACTTTTGATAGTTACCCAAGTCATTGGGATTAAAAAAAAAATCCTTCTGCAAGAGTACTTATGGGTATTGGTGATCAAAACAAAAATTGTTAATATCACTATATTATCTAAATCATGGCTAAGGTGAATACTGTGTATTTTCAGTTAGCACTTTTGTATATAACTATCTAATGGTCAATGACACATTACGCAGATAAATTTTATATTAAATCCCTTAAATGGAAAAATAATAATTAAGCTAAAAATATATTTAATGTCAGTGATAGTAGAAGCCCTCTGTTGCATGTCACTTAATTTCATGATAAAACCAATCTATTGAGAAAATTACATTTAATGTCATTTTACAACTATTGAAGTACAAATGTGTGTTGGCATCTTCCACATATTTTATTAATTTATCTGGTTATGATCAGTTGAATCTCGCTTCATACTGAACAATGTTGTCTGCCTTTATATGGATGAAATAACAGGCATGATACATGAATTTGGTGGGGGGGGGCGGAGGCATATATTTCACCACCACCACCACAATAGCAAACACTAAGTCCGTCAAGTATGTTTTCAGACACCACCACTGTGTTAATTTCTGTGCCTCGCTGTCTTATTCTTCCTCTAAGTTCTTATTGTCTATCAACACATATTTACTTCTGCCATATAAAAGAGGATATTTTATTAACTCAGAGAATATGTGCATGCATGTCTCCAAACTACCATGTTTGTGAAATGATGTTTAATGCCATCTTACAACTATCAATATGAGCATTAAGATTAAGGAGAGGGCTCTCTCTGGTGGCGCAGTGGGTTAAAAGTTCAGCAGGAAGAAGCTAAAACCACTTCAGCATGAGTTCGATCCCCACCCTGGAGGTGATCCACATGGCTTGGCAGACCTCTCCTGACCCACCCTCTGTTCCCCTCAGCAGTGTACTTCCACGATCTGCCTGTTCTGCTCCCCACTCTGTCTCTGGTAAATCCTCTCCCTGGCCCAGCCCTTCTGGCCTGTACCCCAGTTCTCTATGCATAAATAAATAAATCTTCAAGAAAAAGATTAAGGAGAGCTATATAAACATACCTATAACTTCTCAGCATATTCTGCCTGTCATTTCCCTAATTTACCATCTATGCCATGAAGCCCACTGTATGTATTTCTTACTCAAATTTTAGAACATATAAGCTAATTTTTACACTTTGGGAAACATTCTACTTTACAAATAATAATTACTGAAGTTCAACATAGTTTTGAATAATGTAATATTTTCTCAGCTTAATTTTTATTTCACAGTGACAGAAGCTGAACCATAACCAAAAATAAACAGCAACAATGGAAAATAAAATGCCAGGGTGGATATAGCTTTGCTTGCTCACAAATGTTGTCCACGATAGTTCAGAGGTGTTCAATAAAACATTATAACATATACCTATTATACATTACATACTGCATACACAAGTATGTAAATGTAAATATATGTGCATATCTGCACACAATTGACAATCAGGCACTGAATTTAATTTAAGCAAATAACTACAATTTATCTTTCACTAGTTATCTGAAAATTTTGATTTCTAAAATATTTGATAGCAAGTCTTCATATGTAATTTAAAGTA